GTCAATCTGGGAAGCAGGACTGTTTTCCTGTTGTTACCTTTCCTGTTGATTCCCCATTCTCCTTTTGTCTCTATGTATACATGCACACAACCTTCTAGAAATGGGTAGAAGTGAATATGTATGAAGAATCTTTATAGCTTTCTCCGGCCCCAGGAGTTACTCTTCCATTATAACACACTCTGTGGGATCTGAAAATTATTCTGTTGTAATGGAATTTGGTATAATGAGTATATTTTCATTGTTCAGAATGATGTGATTGATGAGGCAGAGAAATAGTTCCTCGCCTCTGCGATGAAATTAGCAAGTTAAAAAAAAAAATCCTTGGAACTATTAGGGCAAAGATTCCTAATTCTCTGTTTTATTTTCCATCACATCCCTGCCTCCTCAGATGGCATAGACCTGTTTTTTAAGGTTAATATGAATTCTGCTGAAATTTATTTGGAGGCTTAGAAAAGAATTTAGGGAGCACATTTATATATCCTAGATTGTCCCAAAGGCAGAATTCAATATTAGAAATCTTTTGTTGTGTAAGAAAAGCAAAGCTAGGGATGTGGGAGTGACAAGTATTCTGAGACAACTACTAAAGGAGAGAGAACACTGCTTTAGGAGACAGTTATCTGGGTGCTGGCCTTAGCACTGTCCTGAACTTAAACAGGAAACTCCAGTCAAGTTGGCCTTTCTGGGTCTCATCTGTGAAGTGGGAAATAATGATGCCTGCTTTCCATGTTTTATAGACTTGTTGAGGCGCTCAAGGGAGAACAGGTATCAAAAGCTTTGTAGGCAAGATGTCTTTTCTGCTCCTGCGTCGTCTTAATAACGGTGCTGGTGTTTGGTTAGGAAGGTTAAGATGCAACATTATGGGGGCATTTGGCTAGCTCAGTAGGAAGAGCATGTGACTTTTGATCTCAAGTTGTGAGTTCAAGCCCCACATTGGGTGTAGAGATTACTTAAAAATAAAATCTTAAAAAAAATGAAAGGATGGGACGTTACATGGTCATACTGTTTGGTGGCAGGTTAAAATTCTCCCCCAGCGGAAAGAATACTGTTGTAATAGAGAATGTGCAGTGAGGGAGGGTCCCAAGAAGGTATGCATAGTACAGGCACGTTTTTTGTAGCCAGATCAGCGAGCACAGTTGTGTGGCCCATCTCTGGAGCGTGGAACTCTGTTTTTAATATTTATTCACAGTGATGAGATTTTACTTGTTCTTCTACAACCTGAAGGAAAAGAGGTTCTGCTAGAAAAGAAACAAATGTTGAGGTACAATTGTGTATATATTCTTGGTGGAACAAATCCATCCCCGTTTCCCCTGGGCTCCCAGGCCTCAGTTGTTCCTGTCTCTAAACTGTTCTTGTATAGCACGGTGTATATTGTGATCACACTCATTACCAGTTGTGCCTTTAAAGGAGGCTCAGTGTTCCTGATTCTATTTTCCATTCCTCATTAACGAACCCCTGAAGCACTTAACTCTGAAGCTACACCTTGTGAGCTCTGCTGCGGAGCCTTCTCATATTTGAATATCTAAAATAGCCGCCTTATTTCTGCTTCCGTCTAATACACAATTCTCAAACTGTGGAGTCTCAGGGCTCCTTGATGCTTTTAAAAGTTCCAAAGAGCTTTAGTTTTTGTATATCTATTGATAGTTGCCTTATTAAAACTTCTAACGAGGGGCACCTGGGTGACTCAGTTAAGTCGGTTGATTCCCGCTCAGGTCATGATCTCATAGTTTGAGATTGAGCCCTGCATTGGGGCTATGACTTCTGAAGTGAAAAAAGTATTAGTTTTTCCAGTGAATGAGTGGCAGTGAAGAAAGAGTACTTTTTGCCCATTATTACTTTTGTATCATCAGTGCAAATGTCATAATGGTGACAAAGGCAAATAATCTTATTATGAAAATAGTTTTGATAGGGACCCTGTGAAAGAGTCTCAGGGCTCCACAGGCCACACTTTGAGAACCACTGATCTGGTACATGCTCAGGGCATTGAGAATCTTTTCCCCCTAGATTGCTATTTTGAGAACACCCTTTCCTTCAGAAGTTTTAAAGCTCCAAAATCCTTCACTCAATAAAAGCACCTATTATGTGTTAAGGAATTAACATGAGATAAGATACAATCTAATCTCTAATAATTGGAGGGGGTTGCAACATAAGGGGAGAAAATTGATAATTGAGTTAAAATGTATGATCTGTTTAAAAAGAAATTAAAGAAAATAACAAAGGGAATGCTAAATTTTAGATTTTACTTTGAGCCCTTGAACGACATGGCAGATCTTCCCCAAGTCAATTGCCACGTCCTTTCCTTCCGTTATCAAACCTCTTAAAAATGTCCAGGTTAATTACCTTTAAACATGTTTTTACACTTAAGTATGCTTGGCTGCAGGCATTGTGGTTTCATGCTTACACACCTACTCGCTGTTCCTCCTTTCTTATTTTGGTGTTATTCTTTAGCTTTTGTGCTTCTCTACTTCATGTTGACAAGGGTGCAGCTTTGAACCAGTGTAGCCAATAACCTGTTTTTGTTTTCCTTGTCCTTCTATTTACATGTAAGCCTTTACCTGCTTTAGCCTTGTGTTAGGTGATGTAACCCTGTAGGTCTGTTACTTGTAATTTGTTGGGTGGGTGGGGAGGTAAGGTCAGAACAATGCAGCCTCTCTGGAAGAAGCCTTTTTAGAGGCAGAAAAAGCCTAGTAGAAATCGCGGTTGTTTTCTTGTGGTCTCCATCCCTACCATCTGCTGAATTTAAGTCTTTGGCTGTGAACCTCTTCCTTGGGGGGGATTTCCATAAAACAGCTGGGTCCCGTCTGGGTCATCAGTGGCAAAAGTCAGACGCGTGCTCACTCGTCTGGGAGCCAATAGTAACTTTTGCAAACGCTGCCACTGGAAACTCCCGAGTTCGGAGGCTGCTGCTTTTCCAAAGGGCACAGTTAACGATAACTTAATCTTTTAACATAACAAAACAAAAACGGAGACCGAATAGTGAGAAGGGTTTTCCCTAGTTGTCAGTGGGGACAGATGTTAAAGTAGCTCCAAAAAATGTGCGGAGAACTAATGTAGAATTCCTTCACTGTTCCGCGGGCTGAAGTGCTGGGGAGAAGGGGGCGGAGACGGGCTCGGAGAGTCTCTGGCCCTTTAAGGAGGAGGGACAGCCTTAAGACTCTGTACCTTTAAGAGTCTCTTTGTCTGGAAACCTCCTTATTTACCCTCCTGTGCTTCAACCAAACTTCGACCCGCGATTCACAACGCCCTTCTACGCCGCCGCCCGTTACGCCAGGCTCAAATTGGCCGCACGTTGGTGGCTAACCCTAAACTTTGCGCCCGCGGCGCGAACCCTCGGAGAGGCAGTCTGTGTCGCGGTCGGGGCCCAGCGCTGCGCCGTTGGCGCAATGCGGGGCCCGGGGGGCGGGGCTCCGGCGGGCGGGCCAATGGGCGGGTAGGGGGCGGGGCCGGGTTCGGTTGTCTCGCGCCCTGGTGACAGCTCGCGCGTGCTGATGATGGCGGTAAATAGAGGGGGGTCGGGGAGGGGGCGGAGGAGGTAAGGAGGCAGCCAAGGGGGTAGCTCCAGGGGGTGGGGGAACGGGGACCAGGGAGGACGCGACGGCCTGGGAGCCCATTCTAAGACTCGGAGGCGGGGACAGGAGTCTCTGGCACACTGGCCCACCCCTTTAAAGAAGCCAAATCCTCACACACCGGGTGCGGGGCGACAAAGGCGGCGCGCGCCTTGCGGGCGGGAGGAGCGGCGGCAGGGGGCGGGACCGCGGCGCCGGCGGGCTGGGGGCGCCCGGGGCGGGGGCCGGCGGAGGCGAGAGCCGGCAGACGGGGCGCGCCGGCCCTTTATTTTGGCGGGGTGGGCGACGACTGGGTTGGGGGTGGGAAAAAAAAAGCCTTGAGGGGAGAAGCGAAGGAAGGCTCGGGGGTGGTTGGGGGGGAACGGGTCTGAGAATGAGATGAGGAGGATTAAGGGGAGAAAGGGTTAGCAGGCTGGGAGAGGAGGAGTGGGAAAAAGCCAGCCAAGGAGGTGGGAAGGAGGCAAAACCCAGGGTGGGTGTCAAGGAAGCCGGCAGGGAATGAGGTTAGGAAGACCCAGGCTGGGGTTAGGTGTAAGAGCACGGGTTTGAGGAGGAGAGCTTTGTAGGGGATGGTAGCAGGGTGAGGGTGCTGGGGTAAGAGTTGGAAGTGGAAGGCAAGGAGGGGCAGAGCTGGGGTGATAGTTGGGAGTAGAGGAGAGAGAGTGATTAAGAGCCAGACGTGACAAGGGTGTGAACTAGTGCAGAGCGAGAGGAGCTGAAGGACTAGGACTCGCGGTGGGGTGGGAATCGTGAGGTTCTGAGAAAGGTAGGGATTAGTGGGTGGGCGATGGGTGTAAATTCTTGAAAGTGAGGGCGGGTGAAAGAGACACCGGACGAGTACCAGGTGGAGTTAGGAATAAGCGTAGTGGAAGGGTGAAAGGAAACCGAGATGAGAGGTGGGGCGTTAATAGGACCATTCTGGGACCAGACAAGCTGAAAGGAGAAGAGAGTAAGGGGGTAAAGAAGTGATGGCGGTCTGGGACAGGGTAACGGGGGAATTCTGTTAATTGACGGGGTTTAGCCAGATCCAAGGTAAAAACAATGAGGTGGAGACAGACACAGGGCTGAAAGCGGATGGTGAGAGGAGCAAGGAAGAGCTGGGCCCCGGGATTTAAAGGATGAGATGGGGTGTAAGGGAAGAGAACAGGGTTAAGGGAAGCCAGAGAAGTCCTGCCGGAGGAAGAACTGGGCTAGCCTGCACAGGGGTGGGACTCAAACGTGCACGTTGTGGGGAGATGCTTCCGAAGGTCTGCCTGGGTCAGGGCACAGGTGCTGTAGTGAAGGATCAAGTGTAGGGAGCCTTTGGTGCAGAAGAGGAGGAATCATGGTGAGTGAAAAGAGACCCAGAGATAGGGGTAAAAACTGAAGAGTCAGAGTGGACTGGGTTGAGGGTGGGGGTCATGTGGAGGGAAGGAATTCTTTGTTGAGGAGAGAACTGTTAAGTGTTTTGAAATTGTGAGTTCTTTTGTCCGTAAAAGTAGGAAATTCCAGACACCTTTTTTCCCCTTCAAGGTATCTTGAATCTGCTTCTACCCTTCATTGCTTTTAATTCGACTTTGATGTCCACTTTGAAAAGATGAGACCCATTTTGATTTGATTGTGTTCTTCTGTGAAGCGTCAGCTCAGTGCTGAAAACCTCTGCATTTTGCTGGTGTTGTGATAATGGGAATACGGGTTGTATTTATGTACAGTGTGGCTGTGCCTGTGTAGTGTGATAGTGTTGTGTTGTACAAGGGTTGTACCTGACAGCACTGGGCAGAGTGCTTTATCGACAGCATTTCCATTTTCAATAGAGAGCCCACTGTTGTGGAGATCGAGGAAGATGAACATCTTTTTGTTTTGATTAATCAACTAGATTTCTGCCTAATTGTTTTTTGGTGGCTGGAGAATATTGAGAAATCATTTCAGAAGAAGACAAATAACCAACCAGGGAAGTTTGCTGGGGAGGAGATTTAAAATCCAGACGGTGAGGGCGTTGAGTTCCTAAGCTGCCTTTAGCTTTACGTGGGACATTTCACACTACAGTAGGTAACTCACTCATTTAACTAAACGGAGTAAAAAAAGGGAAGTTTGTAGAATAGTGGAGGATTTTAGAGTGGGACTTCTTTTCTAGGTTAAATAATGATTTCATGGGTAGTTTTTATCATGAAAAAGCCTCTCTGTGGTAATGCAAGCTGGAGCCCTGGACAGCTCCACTTCCTCTCCTGTTTTGTAGTTGTGAATAAAGAAAGCCGTGTTAATACTAATTTCCTAAAAGCTTTTGATTTTTAAGACACCTCTGGAAATTAAAAGGTAGTCGAGAAGTTTGGGACAAAATTTAGATTATTCATACTGAGTGTTTTGTTTTGATTATTTTTATTCTGAAGCTTTTAGCTGAGACTATAAACGATTATTACTTCTTATTTGATGGTGCTATAATTTAGGATAGCTATAATTAACTTAAGGAAAAAGTGCAAATTGATCTTGAGGATCTTATTTGAGGTTATTTCATTAGTGTGCATTCAGATACACGAAGATAACTTTTTTTTTCAAAGTTGTGTAAATTTCGAATTGCCACTGTTTTGTGGATGTCTGTGTAAGCGATGAATGGTTAGACCGGTGGCATTTGTAACAGTAAAATTGTGTTTTGATTAGTGGATAGCAGAAACACTGGTTATTAATATATGTCAATAACTTAGAACCTAAAATCTATCTGGATTCAGCTGCTGTGTTCATGGAATCTGGATTCTCGTGAGCAGATGTTCAAGGTGACTACATTGATTTTGTAATTTAACAGGAGATTTTTGAAAATTACTATTTTTGCTGCTCAATTTCAAGAGGATTAGTCTGAAACGTTAACTTTCAAGCTGAAGAGTAACTTTTCTATGAGGTACCTGTTTCTGTAGGATATTTGTGCATATTCCCTTGCTGTCTAGATTATGTTTGGCATTACTATTAGGCTGTACTCTGTTTATGGTACTGACGTTTTAATAGTGTAGTTGTTTTATACATGATGTCTTTATATAAATTATTTTAGACTTATGTGATGTTGATGAATAAGAAAATCGATGAACTGTAGGGCCACCCAAGGAAAGAGTCCATTTGGGTCCTGTCTTTTGTTCCTATGTGCTGCTATAGTGTGCTAAATCACTAATTCTCTTTGAGAATGGTTATTTCTCAGTTGATATTTCTAAGACTGAAAATGGATAATCTTTTAGTTCAAATAATACTGTTCATCAATAAGGATCCCAGTGATAAATGTAAGCTTTGTTTTCATTTGTTTATCAAGTAAATTCTACTCAACGGAACTTTATTTTGGTTATAATCTTATTTGTTAAGCAAAAAGCTTCTAAGTTACATGTTTGGATTTGAATGAATAGGTTGTACGTACTTATATGTTTTTCTGATTAATCGTAGATTCTTTGGATGGGAAGAGACCTTGAAAGGACCTCTAGTTTATCCTGCAACTTCAGTCAATATCCCACTTAAATCATCCCAGGTAGATAAAAATTTATCCTATTTTCATAAATCTTCAGAGATAATGTGGCAACCTCTGTAGATAATCTTTTCTGGTATTTAATTATTTTCTCTGTTAGGGCAATCTGCCTTCTTTTTTTTTTTTTTTAATTAAAAAAATTTTTTTTAATTTATTTCTGAGAGACCAAGAGAGACAGCAGGGGAGGGTCAGAGAGAGAGGGAGACTCAGAATCCAAAGCAGGCTCCAGGCTCTCAGCTAGCTGTCAGCACAGAGCCTGATGCGGGGCTCGAACCCAGGAGCCGTGAGATCATGACCTGAGCCGAAATCAGCTGCCAACCGACTGAGCCACTCAGGCGCCCCTAACTAGCATGCACCTAATGCTGTAATTTTGTTTGTTCCCTGTTGCCTCATTCTCAGTTTTTGAGTAAAAATATTTGCTTACTATAATATTAAGAAGACCCTAGTTCTTCACAAACTTAATGGTAGTAGCTGCCCATGTCTATGCTTTTACACCAGCCACTGTTGTAAGCTCTTTGCAGACTAACTCATTCACTCCTCACAACAATCCTGTGAGGTTGGCACCATCACTGTTCCTGTTTTATGCGTGATGAAATAAAGACTGCTTCAGATTCAAGGGCTTTTAATCATCTAATAAAACCTCAAGGTTACACTCATTTTTTCTTTTCTTTTTTCTTTTTTTTTTTTTTTAAGTTAGTAGAATTCTACCAAGTAGTAGGGATAAGATTTGAACCTTGGCATTTTGCAGGCAGTCTGTGTGCTCTAGGATTCCCTCTACTTGATTGTTGTGAAGTGATTGGCCACCACGCTCTTCTCCAGATTAAACAGTGCTGGTTTATTTTATCCCTTGACCTGTTTTGTTTGCCAGTCCTTAAATAATTTCTGTGGTTCTGTTATTAACCTTTCCTAACTTGCTTTCTAGGTGGGGAACCTGGGACAAACACCTTAAGGGCTATGTCTAATGCAAAGGTTACATAAGGGCTCTTACATGCCCTTGTGTTCTCATTAAAAAATTGCATTCATAAAAAATCCAAAACCAATAAAATGCCTAACGGCGTTGCAGATAAATGGTTACCTATTTACCTTTTTCACATACTACAAAAAAGGACTTGTTATGGACCATACAGGTTTGCACTTGAGGGATTGTTGCCCATTGAGGAAAAGCAGAACTCTAGTTTTAGTGCAGATATCCCTAAGTAAAATCTGTTCAGACCCTCTTTGGTTTTTCACTGTCTTCTCTTTATGGGTGTTTGTGTAAGTAATATACTAAGTATATTTATGTATGCTTTAATTTGGTTAAACAGATGGACTCACTCTATTTTTTTTATTAAGACTTCTTTTTTTTTTTTTTTTTAGTTTTGAGAGAGACAGAGACCGAGTGTGAGTGGGGAAGGACAGAGAGAGAGGGGGACACAGAATCTGAAGCAGGCTCCAGGCTCTGAGCTGTCAGCCCAGAACGCGATGCAGGCTCTAACCCATAAACTATGAGATCATGACCTGAGCTAAAGTCAGAAGTTTAACCAACTGAGCCACCCAGGCGCCCCAGGACTTCATTTTTTTTTTTTTTTTTTTTTTTTTTTTTTTAGAGCAGCCTTAGGTTCTTAGCAAAAATGAGAGGAAGGTACAGAGATTTCCTGTATACCCCCATCCCCCACACATGCACAGCCTCCCCCATTATCAGCAGTCCTCACCAGAGTGGTTCATTTGGTGTAGTTGATCTACTTATTTTTTTAAAATAACCAGTAATTAGTGTTTACTAAGTGCCCAGCATGAGCTAAGCATGTAAATTGTTTGAAACTCTCAACAGCCTGTGAGAGAGCTTCTGTTGTTAATACTCTGTGTGTGTGTGGCTTTTGAGATGTGTACAGTGTTTCAAGCTTATAGAAAAATTGCAAAGATGCTACAAGGAACTTCTCTATACACTTACATTTGCCAATGGTTTTCATTTCGCCCCATTTGCTTTATCATTTTCTTTCACTAGCGTATCTTTCAGGTAAATTTGGAAAAAAAAAAAAAAAAAAGTGGACAGGAAGGCCCTAATTTTTAAAATGAAAAGGGAAGAACCTTTTGAATGTATCAGCAAGTTAGTATGTTTGATTTTAGTTAATCTTATGAGGCGAAGGAATCTCAAGGTTGAATTGAGAGTGGGTTTGGGGGGATTATGGTTTATTTTCTTCAGTGTGTTTTGAAAAACATTCTCTTACCTGTGAACAACAAGTTTGTAGGCCCTTCCCTCATCAGCAAAAATCATGTCGCGGTGTACATCTCTGTTGGGGACCTTCTTGGTTCGGCATGGTGTGTTCACTCACAAGGGCGTCCTCAGGGTGTGATAGCTGTTAATGGTGTACGGGTGATTATTATGTGGAAGCAGGGGCCATCCTCACCATGACTGCAGCAGATATAGGTGAAATACATATCTTGAAGATCTTTACGTAGCATCAAGGAGCTGGAAGAGAGCTAAGTGCAAAATGCACTTCCTTAAGAACACTGGTTGCAGTTAATACAAATAGATGTGCCTCATGGTAGAGGGATGAATATAAATATCTTAATGCACTATTACCTTCCCCCAAAATAAACTTAAATTTTGGCAGTCATTTCAGTTGTCATCATATATGGAGATTTAACTGACCCCATCCCTGCTACTATCTTCCAGCTCATCCTCAATTCTTATTGAAGTGGTAGCCAGTCCATTTCATAAAAGCATGACCTACAAAGTGAGGCCTGTTCAATTTCAGTGAAAGGACTGTTAGCTGTATTCTGATGTATGTAAAACACAGCACTTGTGGCCTCCCCCCCCACCTCTTTAAGTGATCATCGAAGCTATGAAATATAGCTCCTTATTAAAGCTGATTGTAATAATTAGAAACACTTAGCTTTCGTAAGGACGAGAAAATTACAAATTATTTGGAAAGCATTCTTTCTAGTCATGCAGTATTGTTTCTGAGACATGGGCAGTTTTTAAAGACTATAATACTGTTTCTTTGCCATTTACATGTTAATAGAAGTCTGAAAAGTGAGGCACTCACATGTTAATAGAAGTCTGAAAAGTGAGGCGCTCTTCTGAAATTTTCAGGGTTTTTTTATTATATGTCAAGTTGTAAACAGCATTCTGTGACAGGTATTTTCTTTCTTTGTCTTCTATTGAGCTAATTAGTAATTTACACTCTAGTAACATCTCTTCCAGCCTCACTGTGTGAAAATGCCTGCTACTTTCTGCCTTCCATGCAGCCCGGGCTGGCAAATGATTTGGGGGCAGACGTTGGTTACCACATCAGAAGGATCAAGGATAACATTTATTTTTGTATTGTGTTGTTATAAATGTACAGGGTTTTGTATACGCCCTGTGACTGTCGCCCTGGCCACTCCACCCCCATTCAAATAGGAGTGTTACAACCTCCTCTAATCCAGAGCTGCTATCCTTGATTCAACTTTGGATTGTTTTCTCTTCTGTCCCCCACCCCCACCCCAACACTGTGGGATTTGGGAAGGATTAGCAGGACAGCCTGGCCGAGTTCAGAGCCCAGGAAGCTAGTCTTCATTGCACCCTCCCATTGTCAGAGCATAGAGCTTCTTGTTGCCTTTAGAACCCAACAGTGCTCCTCTCATTGGGCAAGTTGTGTGAGGGGTGGGAGCGCAGCTCTTTTGTTCGTGGGTTAGGGAGATGCTTTCCTATGATACTTGTATCCCTCCAGAGGAAGGATAGGCCCTACCGTTGTGTCAGCTTTTTCAAAATGCAGCCATGAGTGACTGAAAGAGAATTTATAGCCTGCCTTTAGCATTTTGTTACACTGGTGTTCTGCTCTTTCCTGCCCGCTGCTCTATCTCTCTTTGCCAGTCTCTGACAAGGGAAAGAGGGTATGTGGTATCTGTCATGTGCTCATGGGCCTAGGCCATGTGGACATAGAAAAGTAGAAAGCTTTTGACTTTGAAATAAAGTCTTAAGTATCAGTTCTATGAAGAATATAAATTTTAATTGAGAATTAAAGGACGAGTAGAGAGGGGTTTACTGATATATCAGTTTTGAGCCAAAACCTTTCTAGGATGCTAGATAATTTATGGTACTTATTTTTGCATTTATAGATACTAATTTATCAGGATAATAAGGTCAAAGTTTCTGTTAGAGCTAATTAGAGTCTCCTGTTTCCTGGAGGTGGCCACAAAGAAAATTAGGTAAGAAAATGTGTGAATAGCTCACTTAGGCCATCATTGCTAATAGTACTGTAATCATAGGCATCCAGCCCTTGACAGTGAATTAGCATTCATGAACAGAAGACATCACATTTATGTAAGCAGTTATAGAGTATGTGGGAGTTATATTAGTGTTTTGTTTTCATAATCTAAAATGTTTAGAATATCCCTATGGATGAGCCATTGCTAACATCTACTTCTCATATTCTCATCTTTCTGTGTTCTAATACAGCTACCTATATCAGTTGTCTTAGTTATATTGGATGTTCATGGCTACACACTAATTATACTCGTGCTTAACGTCTCTAAGAGGTCAAAGGTCAGATTAATAAGCAACATTTCATTCAAAACAAAATATCATTTGAAGTAGGCATCACACAGAGGAGTGTCATGAGTAAGTAAGGATGCCAAGTGAATACATGACTGTGGAATTAATATACTCTTAAACAATATTTCTTTTCTTTTTAATTTTTTAAAAATGTTTTATTTACTTCTGAGAGAGAGAGACAGCATGAACAGGGGAGGGTCAGAGAGAGAGGGAGACACAGAATCCAAAGCAGACTCCAGGCTCTGAGCTAGCTGTTAGCACAGAGCCCGACGTGGGGCTCGAACCCATGAACCGTGAGATCATGACCTGAGCCAAAGTTGGACGCTTAACCGACTGAGCCACCCAGGTGCCCCTTAAACAGTTTCTAAATATATGGCATAGCTTGAAGAAATGATAACTATTTCAAGTGAAAGGTTAATGTGCTTTCATGAAGAGATGAAACTCATTTGTGATCGGCATCCTTGTCTATTTCATGCTTAAGTCCCAG